GGCTTGCAGAACAAGCCGCTGCAAGCTGCCAACCCAGTGAAGATTTTCTTTCATATCTGCAGTTTGCACGAGAAGGCAGCTGGGACTGTGATGAATTACTATCTCTGATACCAGTGCTAAGTTTAAGACATTTATTTAGCACAGCCTGTTAGAAAAGACGCTGCCAATATCCATTATTGGTATTAACAAACTTTTTCAGGAAAACTAACAAAGGTATTTCACAGTCTGTCTCTGCTTAGAACAGTTTTTTATTGATTGAACTGTAATTGAATTTTGCTGAATGTTTATCTCAAAACACTTTCAAAAGAAAAACTGAAACATCTTGTTTTGAAAACAACTCCAATGAATGATTTGTAGTTCTTAGTTACACCTTTTCTTGGGGCCAAATCCTTTTCCCAAGCTCACTGGCCACTTTCATTGCCCGAGAAATTGCATTTCCGATCGGCTATTTGTGGTGCCCTCCTGTCCCCTTTTGGTGTTCAGACTATCATGTTTTCAGCAGCTGGCACTGCAAAGCATGTTTATACAATCCTGCAGATCTGCTCCCTTTGCAGAGATATTGCAAGCATACAGCCCATGACCCGTATCTATCTGGAAGTTGGCATATTTTCTAAGCAGTATTCAACCAACCAAGCAACTCCTTTGGATTTCAGAAGCAGTCATCACACTTATGTGCATAAATTGAAAATCTTCACATCTTCATTGACATGTTGTCAAAAGATTCAACTATTTGGATCATAACCAAGCATTTTTACAGTTGCAAATAATCTAAAAAAAAAAAAAAAAAAGGTTTATTCTGCCTGTAGCCTTCCAGCATGCCACAGTACTCTTCAACCCACCCACAAGAGAAGCCACCTTTATTTTGATAGCATTATTTTTATGCAATAAGCAACTTAACTGTCCTTTAGCCGTGCTTCTTGACTTTGAGATTCTACTTTTGCCTTTGCCCAAAATCCTGTAATCCCACTCACAGTTTTCTAACAACTAAATTTACAGGTCCCATTCATACATTTGACATGTACATTCAATTATTTTGTAGGTAACACTTATGAAAACTACTAAAATCAGCCAGTCACACATACACAGGTTGTTGTAAATGTCAGCTTTGATACTGCTGTGTGTATTCCCCATCTTTAACATGTGCTTCAGAGATGAAAAAACAAGAATACAATCCACCTTGAACCAATGCAAAGCAGATTACAAGCTCCATTTCCTTTTCACTTACTGAGGCCATGTATCCATTTTGTTGTTGTTATTGTTATTATTATTATTCATTCTGGTTTTATGGCTCTCCACCCACCCTAAATCTTTTATCACAGCTGGTTAGTTCCTTCTGTGGGACCCTCCTCTGCAGGGCAGCAGAAGTCTCCACAAAAAAACAAAGGACATAAATATTACAATATTTAAAATGTTCTGTATCCACTTTATTCTCCAAATCCCCAGCCTTCTGTAAATACCACAAAGTATTTTCAACAAGTGGCTAATCGGCACCTATAGGTTTTATATGGCCTAGCTGCAAGAGCTCATTAATGCTCTACCTTGGGGAATTGTTTTTATGGACTTTGAAATGCTTTGAAAACAGCAACCTCTCTTTTTAAAAAGCATTTTAAAAAATCTCCAGACAAATGTCTTTAATCTTCCACAGATCTAGAAAGACTGTAGCAAGAAAACTTACTTTTTATAGTTCAGTATTTCTCTGAGATGATCTCAAAGTGTTAGCTAAGATAATTATCAGAGAGATCATGCAGCTCTTCTTTTCAAAAGGTTTTGTTTGCTCTCTTGTTACATAATTGCTTAGTGTTTATATGGAGCGCAGGAAATAGAAAGCATCAGAGAAATACCAAGAATTATTTATTTAACAGAAAAATAATTCTCCCAAATGATATTAACATTTTCAGCAGTCTTTACTACATTTTGAAGATTTCTGTTAACCTGGAGAGCTGCTCAGCGATCTAACCTTGGCAGCACATGAAATGAGAAATGTGCCTTACCACTATTGTTTTTAGACTATTTCAATGGAGCTGCAAAAGAGCAGGAAGCAGAGAAGAGGCGCAGTATAATGTCTTACGATTTCCTTCACACCTAGCTTTGCTGGCGACAAAGGCCACCCCATTCAGGAGATAAAATCAGGACTACTTGTAAGTCAAATCAGTGCCATAAAGTACACAGTCGCTTTATGAAATCACTAAACGTTTTGAGAATTGGCTAAAACCACTTCAAACATCTCAAAGCCTGTGCAAGTTTATATGCAAAAATCAAGACTACCGGAATTGGAATATTTTTAACCAAATTCCACCCAAGACCTTTCAAACACGATCAAAGCCATCTATAAAGCATAAAGAAGAGGCCCTGAACTCAATATAAAGTTGACATCGGGCACACTTATGTACATACTACATTTAGTCTTGCAAACCATCTATAAGCTACAGCAACTACAGAATTTCAGTTCCTACTTTCAATAATTCCAAGTCCATTCCATGATTATTCACAGGTACTTCAGATTTTTTAGGATGTCAAGAAAGCTTACAGCAAGTGTGCCATGCAACCATCATATTAGCTATACAACTACCTTTTGTTTAAACACAATAAAATCAAATTCTACTTACAGCCAACCATCATCATGGCCACCGAAAAAATCTTCTCTCCATCAGTGGTTGGTGCTATGTTTCCAAATCCTATCGTTGTAAGGCTTGTCATGGTAAAGTAGAGAGAGGATATGTACAAGGAGTCTTTACTGGGTCCTCCTTCCCACTGCCCTGAGCCAGTGGTGTTGTATCGATATGGTGTCCCGATACTCAGTGCCAACTGGTAGAGCCAGCTGTCTCTTTTAATTGTATTAGTGACTTCATCTATAACTTCGTAGTCCCCAATGCTGTACCATATGCAGGCTAGCCAGTGGGCCACCAGTCCAAATACACACACCAACAGTACCAGTACAGCAGCACCATATTCCAGATAATGGTCCAACTTCCTGGCAACTCGACCGAGTCGTAGAAGACGCACCACTTTTAGGGAACTGAAGAGGCTACTGATCCCCTAGAAAATAATAAAAATCATTATTTCACATGAAACATCCTGCTGGTTAACACAGAAGGCTGTACAGCGACTCCTGCATCTGCTTTAAATCTTTCTATATAATTTTTTCATGCCCCAAATGACAGAATACATGATCGAGCCCTCCTCCCCCTCCAGTACTTTTGTCCTCATCAGGGTAAATCCAGTTTGGTGCTCATTAGGTGCGTAAGTTACTCCATTCAAGCTCAGTCTTCCCAAGTAACAGAAGAGTTCTGTGGAATCCAAAGTGAGAAATGGCATGTTTATTACAAAAAGGAGCGATTTCCAACCCAAACCATTCTACGATTCTATGAAGCCACAGATGAAACTACACCATCCAAGTGGAGTTTCCTCAAAGCTTTTCAGAGAACAGTATTCCATTAAATACAAGCAGAGGATTGCTATTTGGTCAAAATGGGGGTCCACCTACTTCAACAACATTCAGCATTAACACATGCTCAAGAGAAACATCAGAAAGTAATTGTGACGGGTAACTACAGAGAAATCTGCCTAGTGTTCCTCTCATCCACCAGAGAGCAGCTGGGTAGCTTCCTCTAGTCCGACAGTCTCCACCTCATATCATCCTTCACCGCAGCTAATACAACTCTCAATATTTTGTCATTTATCGCTGACTGAACATGGAACTAACAACTGTGGTCACACCACCCTTCTGAGTGAGGGTAACAAAGACCACAAGGCATTGGCAAGAAAACCACATGCATATAGGGCTAATTTCCTTTCTGATCAACAGACATTGTGGATACTTTCCTAAAGCATGTATTTGTGCAGTATTTTTATCCATGCAAGATAAATGAAGTATAAAAAAAATGAAAGTATAAATATTTAGGGAACAGAAGTGCAGGGACCATCAAAAAGTTAATAGAAACATCTGATAGGGAAGAAGAAATGTATGTTCTCACTGCATAAATGATTTGCAATGTATTTTAAGAGTTTATAGATGCAGAAAGAGAAGAAAAACATGTTCCTGATCTATTGCAATACCATGATATACCTAACTTGTGCATTAAATTAATTAGTGACTCAAAATATAAGGTCTGTTAAGGAAGGTTTCTAATATAAAACATTCAGAAGCTGATGACTTTTAATTTCAAGTAGAAATTAAGACATAGAAAGCAATGAGGCAAACATTCTAGTTACTGTGCCAAGATTAAATTGCCCTCTTCTATGCATCATTATCAAATCAGTCTAGTCAAAACACTGACTAATTATATTATCAAACAGTAAAAGACTGGAGTTTCTGGAGTTTTCCATACCAGAAAAACATTAATCTCTTTTGCACCTCTGTTTCTTTTCACAAGTAACGTTTGAAGGGTAACATACATCTGATATTTCCAGACGTAATCTGTTCAACAAAGTTCTTGTATGCTTTTCAAATCCTTTTGGAATTTGTTTCAGATCCCCAAATCCTTAATAAATTAAAGTTCTATATTTGCATTCAGGCTCTCATGATGACTAATACCACGGAGGGAAGTGGAATTTTACCATTTTGATTTCTGTATTTTGCATTTACTCGAGACACAGATCTAATTTATCATTATTATTTCCATCTAAAGGTATAGCTACTTATTTGCTTTGGGATATATGTCTGTGAGGCACTCTGAACAGCCAACTTGTTCAATAAACTGGGAAGTCCCTTACAATGTTCATTACACAATGGACTGGGGCCAATGGACTACTGAATGAGGGTCACACTCCACAGAAACAGTATCTATATTAAAAAAAGAAAACTACTGAATAGTTTAGTAATGTATTTCATGAAATTAACCTGCAGTGTGTTTCAGTGAATTACTCCTGATTCTGAAAGATTACAACTCGCTGTGAAATCAGAGGGAGAAAACAGCAGAGTGGGTTTTTTTAATGGGATCAGGTCCTATTGCACTGGTCAAGGAGATACACATTATTTCTATTTTACTTAAAGAGTCACTGTTCATTACCAAGATGAAGGCTAGGGAAGGAGTTAAGAGACCTGGAATCTAAACTTGGGAGTCCCCTTTTTGCACCCAGTAATTTCAGTTCATCCCAGTGGCAAGCTTACACTGCACTTTCTACTGCACAAAACCAAAACGAGAGTCAGCCCTTGATGAGGAGAGTTTACAGTCTGACACTCCATCCATATTACATCTTCTCTAAGTTATGTGGACAGTTGTACAATATAAAAATACAGCATTTATTTCCAAGCCTGGGAGAAAGTTCGTGCTGTGATTATCTTTTTTCCTGAGCACAGATAACAATCACATCTCTGATGTATAAAACAAAGAGAAATCTTTCATTTTAACTGACATTGAACTGTATTCTTTCCAAAGAATAATTCATTTAAGTAACTTTTGCTGTAAGTCTTAAAGCCAGTTCTGTCTGACCCACTACTTTAAAGGCCAAAAAATGAAAGATATATTTATTGAGCATTCACATTTCATGTCTAATCTTGCAAAATATAAATACAATATTGGAAGCTTTAAAAGCCTATTCCATAAAGCACTACCTAGGAAAGAGCAATTAAGCACAGACTAAATTAATATGTGATGCATCGCATTGTTTAATTACTGTGTTGGGTCAAGCTGGTACCTTTATACTTAAAAAATCAACCAACAATAAATGCACAATTGTTAATACACAAAGCTCTGCCTAAGATTCAGCAATGATCTCTTTTGTGGAAATTATGTGAAAGAGTAACTGCCTTGAATTAAGTATGGGCTATGAAGGAATTCAGTGTTCTAAACACTCAAAAGCTGGCTGCCTTTAATTTTGTTAAAAAACTGTATTTATGCTCCATAAGGAGTATTTTTGAAATCTTTCTATTAAAGGATGAGCATCCGCTCTCACTGAAGTAACCTAAGCACTCAAGAAACAGAGAGGCAATTAGAAACCCTGAATGGAGTATGTAATCCCATTTGGCACTAGAATCGTGTAACGAATGCACGTTTTTGATAATGAAGATCCAGCCTTCTGAGAGGAACAATTGTCACTCTATTGCCATATTTATTCAATTGGACCAAGTGCCTGTAATATCTGGTGGTCTGTCTTCTCTGTCTGAGAATATCTCATTATGTTATGAACCATCTAATCCTGCCCCTTGAGGTTTTGACTCGTGTATTTGATCACGTCTTAATCAGATGAGAACATTCAGCTTGCTCATCTTCAACCACCTCGGCTGTATAAATCTTTTAACTGAAAAACCACCTACTCCAGAATTGAATTTTGTGTGTCAAATTTGGAACCAAATTCCTGTCTGATGCACATCAACGACTGAAGTGTTACAAGTGTGAGTCACAGGAGACTTTCTCAGCGACTTCTAAGGCCGTTGGATCAGGAGAGGACACAAGCAGCAGCTCCGAAGCAGCCCTTTTTGTACCACCACTTCTACTTAACAGAGAGCTGAAAGCCACCACAAAGGATGTAGACAATGTCAGATTTATCCAGAAAGGCATTTTTAAGAAATGGATCTTCCATTTTGGAATTAAATTAGCAGTTCATTATTAAACAAAGCCCAAGTTTATTGATACAGGTGCCTCGCAAAGTCCGTGTTCTCAAATTCTCTTGATACGCTAAGGAAGGAAATTCAGTTTGACAGTGGAGGCACAAGTGATGACAGCACTCAGTCTGCAATGCAGAGGGACCACTCCTTCCTATTAAAATTACCTGAATCGTTCCATTTCAGATCCTATATGTCACCACATTGTCAAACTTCCAGGATGAAAGAAGTGTCTAAGCTTTGTCGGCATCCAGCTAAACTTTTCTGACCATAAGGCTGAGAAAGATGTTTCCTACAGTCACGATACATGCCGTTGGAACAGACCTCTGCACCTCGAGCAAGAGCAGGGAGAGAAGTTTTCTTTCACTTAAGGAATCCCCAATAAGCCAGGCAATAGTATGTTCTCCTAAACTAGGAGAGTGGAGTTTGTTCTGCACTAAAGCAACAGAATAACAGAACTGCATCTTTGTAAAAGACGTAAAAGATTTAATAAGCTGGTTATTTGCTAATCTAATAAATCTTTTCTGCAGTAGGAAATTATTGCATAAATGTTTAAAAAAGTAAAATAAAAACAGCCATTAGTTCCTACCATCTAAGTATACTAAAATCTGTTTAAACCTCAATATTAAATGCCAGTATGCTGAAATGGTAAATTGGTGCATAATTTTTTTTTTCTATTAGAGAAAAATGTGTTTTTAACTCTAGGCACTTTTTCAATTAGATTCCACTCCATGATTTTTTATTTATTTGTTGCTAGCTGTGGGCACATATACAACAGCAACAAATGAAATGAAACACGCATTTTAAATGTGTTCTAAAACCGAAATCCTCCTGGGTCTGAAAATGGGGGATCGGTACTTTATCATTTAACAAAAAACACTGCCTCAGAAAAGGTCAGAGGAAAAAAAAAGGAAGAGCTTTTCACTATGTTTTGATGTTCAGCACATTGTGGTTTGAAGAGTTTATGGAGTGGCCAAGAAGCAGAGCTTGAACCTTTCTATGAAATGCTGTAGGGCACGTTGCCACTGCAGTCAAAGGTGTGACTGCAGCATATACAGACCTTCGTAAGCTAAATTTAAGCCAATACGCGTAGCATTGCTAGATGCAAGCAATTGCAGCAACCTGCACTCAGTAAAACTAGCCACTAAAGTGATCAAATCCTCTGAGGAGTGTGCAGCCTTGCCTGAGCTCTTTATCTCCATCCAAGAGCAAAATGGTTTCATGTAAATTGAGCTCGAGCACACCTGCTGAAGCCACGGGCACACCGTGACTGAGCACGAACCACCCTCCTGGGGTGGGAATTCATCTCACTCAACGCTGCAACCTGACGGCCAAGCATCCAGTCTATGTGAACTGTCCAGCTTTCCTCCCTGGTGAGTGAAGAGAGAGGCATGTCAGAAGACTGATTCACCCAATCCATCTCAGCCTGGGATGGCATGAATCACCTCCTGGAGCTGTCTCTCTCCCCTCCCACTGAATACAAAGAAGCTGA